TTTCTTATAAATACACACCAATGACTCAGTGATCCCATTCCTAGATATTTACCCAAGCAAAATGAATTGTTTATATTAAAACTTGCACATGAATTTTAAATGACAAACCTTGATATGTCCATACAATGAAGTACTCAGCAACAGAAACAGAGCTATTGACACACATGTATGAATTTAAAACGCATTTTGTTATGCACAAGTAGCTAGGCTTAAAAGGTTACAAACTGTACAATTCCACCATTTATATGACATTCTGGGAAAAGCAAAGTTATAGGAACAGGTTAAGTGATTGTGAGGTGTAGGGTGAGGGGTTGAGTACACAGGGGAATTTTTAGGTTCAGATCTATCCAGATACAACCATTCTGGATAGTACAGGGATGGTGGGTGAACACAACCTGTGCATTTGTCAAAGGCCTGGCAGAGTGAATTTTATTATGTGAAAAAAATATAAAACTTTCCAAAGAAAATGAAAACTCCACTTTGGGTTTGTGATGTCAAGGGATCCCAGATGGAATGCAGAGTGTGACAAATGAAATCTGTTTTGCAAATGTATCTTATAACCTCAATGAAGGGAACAACTAGCTGTACTAAGTTACTTTGGAAAATGTTTTGAGTGGATACTATTTAAGGTTAAAGACAAAAAAGTACTTAAACGAACACTATACCCTCGGTCAATCTGTGTCTCACAGGGGTACAACATAGTTATTCTGAAACCACTGTATAAGTATTCCAGGGTTCAACAAATAAGCAAATAAATTATAGGTAAAAGGAGCCAGGTTTCTCAGAGAAAAGAAGTTATGAACAAGCAAAGATGCGTAAGCAAAATAAAACTTATGGTGCTGAATGAGAATCCGTTTAACTTAACATGCTTACAGATAGAGCTAAACATATAGACATGTGTACCCATACACTGGTTAGTATACATACTTATATCTCTTAGTCATTTCACCGAAAAGGTGAAAGCAAGCACACCTAAACCCCCATCTTGGTTTCTAAATGCCATTCTGCAAAGAAAGGAACAAGGCTCCTTGGGGAAATAGCTAATTCTAGGGCTGGCATCCAGATAACACCTACAGTGCTAGAAAAGATTAGTCTTAAAAAAAGAAAAAGAGGGTATGTTAAAGGATTTAGAGGCCAGTTTCAAAGAGCTCCCAATAGGCAAAGCTAAACAATTTGCACAACAAAATAACAGGTGTACTGGATTTTGACTCAAAAGTATAAAATAAATAATCATGATTACATACTAATATAAACAAATGACCAAATAAAGAGAGGAAAGGAACAAATATTTAAAAGAAAATTTGTGAAGAATATACTGTTCCTTCCCTTTGAGTGTGGGCTAGATTAACTCACTTCCGAAAGTATGGAAAGTGGAAAAACCTGCAGACACCATCACTTTAACCAATGAAGAGACGTCATTGGTAACATCTGCTAACTCTGCAACCCACGGTACCAGACACTGCGGAAGGGCACACGACACCTGAGCTACCCTCCCTAGTGAAGTACAGCCTCCCACCTGATAAATGCCAGGTAAACCCACTGTGAGGGCCACCCTACAGGTAAACCCACTGTGAGGGCCACCCTACAGGTAAACCCACTGTGAGGGCCACCCTACAGGTAAACCCACTGTGAGGGCCACCCTACAGGTAAACCCACTGTGAGGGCCACCCTACAGGTAAACCCACTGAGAGGGCCACCCTACAGGTAAACCCACTGTGAGGGCCACCCTACAGGTAAACCCACTGTGAGGGCCACCCTACAGGTAAACCCACTGAGAGGGTCATCCCACCAAGTAACCAACTAGTGCTCTTCACAGCCTCAAGGTGAGGGAAGACTGAGATACTGTCAACAGACTGCAGGAGACGGAGGCAGTGAGGACTAAATAAATGCACCATGGTACCTTGGACATGGTCCCAGAACAGAAGAGAACATCAGAGGGAAAATGGGTGAAAATCAAACATAATCTGTATTTTAGTAAATAGTATGGTACCCATATTAATTTCTGGGTTTTGACAACTGCGTCATAGTTTATATAAGGTGTTAATATTAGGGGAAGCCTATGGAAGGGTATAGGGAATATAGGTAGTCTCCAGACTAAGGTAGTAAAAGGTAGTCTCCAAACTACCTTTGCAATTTTTCTGCTAATTTGAAATTACTGTAAAATTAGCTTGTTGTTGCTGTTGTTTCTTTTAAAGTATAGAAACCTCAGCACTGAAAGCATGCTTGTATTTTAAATTATGAAAGGGACTTAACAAGATTATACACATTTTCACAGCAACTTGATCAACACCACAGTTTATTTGTAAACATATTATAGTGCCAATAATCAAATTGACAACACTTTATACATTTCATTGTATAATATTAACATCATACCAGAAAAAAATCCACCGTACTCAGTTACAGTTTTGGTATTTTAAAATCTTTAAATGCAAACTGTATTTGAAATACTGAACATAAAAGAGAAACACAAATGGCAGAGAAAAAGTGGAAACAAGTAAAAGAAAGCACTATTCCTGGAAAAAAAAACAACCCACAAACAGAATCATCTGATTACAATTTTAAAAGAAAAAAAGGAATCAAGGAAGTCAGATGATCTCAACAACATAAAGTTACATTTCTTCAGACCTATGTGTAAGGTGAAATTGTAACATATTAAATTCTATGTCTTTTTTTTTATATTTCTTTTTTCTCTTGGTTTCTGAAGTTTGCCAATGGTTTAAGCTCCATTAAGGACAAAAAAGAGGGGAAGGAGCACAAAGCCAAATGAAATTACTTTAAACATCTGCAGAAAAACCAGATAAAAATTATTTTATAAATTTTCTTTGGCAAATAATAAATTCTATATTTTACCTTTTTTGTTGAATAGGATCAACACATTAGATTTAAGCAATGCATCTCTACATGAGTTAATGTATGAATGAAACAAAACCAAATCCACAAAGTAAAGCATAAAAGTGGCTTTCACATTTTGCTAACAGCTCTAAAAATGCAGATTCTCATCTTCAAAAGTATGAGAGGTCTTCAGCTGGAAGTAGAATCTTTCCTCATTCATGTGAGAAACCAGAGGTGACCACGTGCCTTTTTTTTGTACTTTCCCTAAAATTCATGATCATTATTAGGTTCCATTTCTTCCTATTATCCCTCAAAGGAAATATAGCAGCAAATCACTCCCATATTTTAAGTTTTAAATTCACCAACAACAGGGTTCAACTACAGGGTTTGTAGTTTGTACCAACTACAAACATTCAATGCTTTATTAGTGTACATGTCATCACCATAGGCTTAGCTTGTTAATACAGAAATAAATAAAATAACTACAGTTAATCTGAACAAAGCAAATGAGATTAAAGAGCCCTGATCAAATGAAATACTTACAACAATCAGGTGAAAAACTATAAAAGTTACATACATACCTAATAGCAGTAGGAATGTACAATATCAATTATTGGAAAAATAAATGAGTGATTCACAGTTATAAGAAATTATTTTAATATTAGTATTTTTCCTTTTATAGACAAACATTTATAACATACACTTGGTTTCCACCTCATATAAGACAAAGTAGAATACTAAACGTTGCTGCATTTACCCCAAACACAGCACTGACTGTGTCACAGGCAACCTGCTTCAAAACATTCAACAGGTGGGCCATGGTACTGAATGCATGGTTATGTTAACAGTTTTAAGAAAGACCCAAAAGTGTGTTAAATACACAATGTCAGTTCTATAAATAACAAAAATTATCAGCAAAAATGTTCAGGTTTAACCTTCCCAAATTTTCTAATGCTTTATATATTTTAGATATACGCTGTTTGACCAGTTAGTTTGGTTACAGTTTTAAACTAGTAAACCGTTACTCTATGAGAAGAGCTAAACACTGCACAAACTTCCCAAGGAAGGTAACTCGAAAAATCTAAAAATGATCCCAATTATTCTAATTAACATTTGAGATACTAAAAGAATCAAGGACTCAAGAAAACGTTTTGAAATTACTCGATTTTTCTTTATCATTTTGTCTAAAACTAGTCACATAAATTTAAGATCCAAATTGCCTAACAATGTGTCCTCACAGCAAGTTTGTTACTAAAATGTTTTGATCAGAAGACATAGCCTTAATGCCTCTAAATGTAATTGTAAGCTAAAATCAAAATCCTTGGTTTGAAACCTCAAATCCAATTCCGTGACAACTCATGGGTAAATGAGTCAGGGAGAAACCATGCAGCAGCCACAGCTACAAGAATGGAAAATAAACTCTATTTTCCCATAAAGACTCTATGAAAATATAAAGCCCCAAATGAGCGACAACGCAAGTCCATGTATAAACACTGTTTAAAAATAGAATGTTTCCCAAGCTTCTCATGAGATGTCAATGTATAGGCATAGTTTGCGTTAAGATCTAAGTCAATGTTAAGCCGCACCTAACTATGCTGATTTGCATACCTTCAACAATGCTCAACTGATATACATAATTCACAAACATCCACAGCGATTCTTAATGCCCCATCAGATCATCTCTCAATAATGGATGTTTACAGTTTTACAGTTTTGCTGCTTTAAATACCAAGAAGCCTTTTCAGAGGAAGAGTTCCACCTCTTCCCATGATCCCTTAAAGAGTAGGTAACAAAATATAAAATTAAACAAGATTTATGTTTGATAAACTAACATATAAAATTACCATTGCAATATTCATAGTGACTGCTTATAAACATAACAGTCATCATAAAGCCTATAAAGTATATCCTCAGTTTTATAAAAGAAATGCAGATTGTCTCAAGGTAAAAAATACAGTGCAGGCTGCTAAAAAGCTTTTTGTTGCATTAGGAGGTGCAGGAATGAGGAAAACTTCTGAAAACATGAACGAGTTCCCCAAACTTTACCATCAGTTAAGCATGAATTGCACTGCAGCAGCAGGAAGCTTTTTAGTGGCTGGCACTATAAAGCTAACATTAAGAAAGAAAAAAGGCAGAAAGGGTGGGCAACAAATGATGTAACCAAATTATTGCAAATGGAGATTAGCAATAAGAAGTGACGAGGGTGATCGTCCACTCCACTCTGTTAAGATACCATCTTTAAATACTAAGTTCTTTGCAGGAAGGGGGACTCCCATGTCAGCACAGGATGACTGTGAAAGCAAACTTGGAAAACTGGCCTCAGTGTGAACATCCAGTGTTGAAGCACCTTCCTAGAAAGAGCAAGAAACAAGACAAAAAAATCCTATTCAACACTTTACCAAACCACTTAATTCAGCTAATGAGAAATCAAGACCTTGATTACCTAAGAAATGTTTAGGGAATGCAGAGCACTATAGGAGATGTAAAGATGTACCTCATGAACCCCAAATAATCAATGACTGCTGTTAACATATGCAGAGATGACAAATACACTCAGATGACGATAAGTACTTTGAAATAAAGAGAAGTAACAGGTTATAAGAATAAGAAAAAGCTAGTTCTTAGAGAATCTACAAAAACCCTCATGCAACATCCATCCACTCCCAGGGCTCTCAGATTCACACATTCACCACAAACTTCTTGGAACTCCAGGTTCCAATCTCCTCCAATCCAACATCTATCTTTGGATGTTTCACCATAAATTCCACACTTAGCATGTCCATAACCAAACTTAAATTTTCCCCCAATGGGTCCTTCCCCTACTCCATGCATCAAGCTAGTCAAGAAGTATGAAAATCATCTTCATTCTTCCCTTCCTTACCATACCCTCAATCTTTCCTCACATTTATTTAATCACCAAGTTCTCCCAATATACCTCCAACATGTATCCCAAAGGAGTTTACTTTATTCATTCACCATAGCCAAGGCCACCAGTCTCCACTGAAGTGGGGTCCTCACACCAAAGTGAGGTGCAAGAGTGTGAAAATTTGTAAAATCTTGTATCTATTTATTGCATCCAATAAAGTTTGTTTTTGTGTACATTTTATAATATACACAATTTATTATGTACAGGTATAGCAGTAATAAACAAACCTGTAATAAACAAACCTTTACTGCTGATACATATATTTTTTTTAAATGAAAAAGGGTGTTCATTCATCAATTTCTCTCACTACAGTTATTGCAACAGTCTCCAAACTTGTCTTATTTCTAAGCTTCTGTTTTTTATCTATTCTTTAAACAGTAACTAATCTTTTTTAAAAAGTCAATTAGAAATAATGTCATTCCCTGTTTATAAGTCTTTAATACTAACAGTTTCTCTTTGCAGTAAGCATAAAACACATTTTTTTCACGTATTCTAGAAGGCCCTCCGCTCCTCATCAACCTCATCTCTTGCCCCTACCCCACTTTCACGAAGCTTCTGCCACACAGGTCCTCTCATTTCCTTGCAGGCTGAGTGCCTTCCTGACACAGGACTTACATACCTACTAACCTCGGCCTGGAATACTTTTTCCTGTTCTTTAGATTTCAGCTTATACGTCACCTCTACCTTTTTAAATTTGGTCTGCCTTTAGAATCCATCATATCTCAAGGGGTTTGGCTCCTTTAAGGCACACATTTTGAAATCTGTAACTACTTGTATATTTCAGTGTTTCCTTGACTAGCTCTCACACAACACTTAAGCTCCATGAGTGTCTTAGTACTGTTTCTCCAGCACCTTGTAGACTCTGGCATAGAGCTGACTCAAGTATTTACTGAGGGAATGAAGGAAGCCAAATTCCAAAATACTAATTTCATAATGTTAGAACAGATATTTCAAACAAAAAATATTCCATTCTAAAAGTTTATCTACAAATCAAAGTCTACGGTCTCCATTCTCTCCTTGGGGGTAAGAGGAGAGTAAGATGGGGGTCCCATCTCATTCATCACCGCACTGGGGGATCACTGCAGTTGTTAATGGAAGAGTACTGACTCGAGAGGGGACTCCCCTAGTGGCTCACTGGTAAAGAGCCTGCCAGCCAACGCAGAAATCACTGGTCAAATTCCTGGGTCAGGAAGATCCCCAGGAGAAGGAAATGGCAATCCACTCTAGTATTCTTGCCTGGGAAATCCCTTGGAGAGAGGAGCCTGACGGGCTACAGTCCTTGGGGTCACAAAGAATTGGACATGACTTAGCAACTAAACAACAACTGACCCAAGAACCAGAACCTAACATGGTACACGGCCCATGGCAGATGCTTAAAACACTTCTGTTAAATGAAGCACCAGCACAGAGCAAACAGATCAAGCCTCCTAAAGACCTGGCCAGTGAAATCATGTATAAGTCAGTTAACTTTCTGAATTTCAGTATCTTCATTTATACATTAAAATTACAACTTATTTCATGTCTTACTGCTGTGGAGACTCAGTACAAACACAGAAGTGTTTTGGACACTATAAAAGCTCTATACAAATACATCTTAGTGTTTTTTGATTTTTGTTACCTGGAATGAGTGAACAAAGTTAAGGACTTGTAGAGACAGTTTTCTACTGGAATGTAAGAGGTTTTGAAGGCTGAAAAAAAGGGGAAAAGTTTAAAACAAATATAACAAGAACTAATATCTTATGAGAGTTTTAATTTTAATAAACATGTTAATATATGTATATACATCTCAATTAATCATATAATTTTTAAAAAATAATTGCAATGGTTCTCATCAATAAAATTTCTGCTTGTTTTAATAATATGGAGTAAAGATGCATTAAAAAGACCATTTCGAAATAAAACATCATGTACAACCAAAATTAGAAAATTATTGTTAAAAGAAAGTTTAAACTACTACTAAATATAAATGTTAAATGCAAGAACACTTTAAAAATAAAAATGTAGGAACACATTTTCAATTGTAAACTGGTAACATATGTAAATTGGTAACCATTATAGTGGCAGTCATTAAAGCTATATAGTATTTTTACCTTTTTATTCATGTATTTTATTTTCAAGATAGTTATTAAAATTACTTGTCAATTAAGTACCTTACATTTTTCTTATACAAACTACATTAGGCCAATTAAATTATTTATTCTCCAACTTTGTTTTCCTAAATAACGTCAAGGAGGTCTGTAGATATCACCTCTCTCTAAGCCACCCACCATGATCATCAGATTTAGTGATACTCTTCTCTGCTAACCAATCTCAGGACCTTTACCACGCTGCCTCTCAGCAGCTCCTCCCAACCGATAAGAGTGAGCATACAAGATAAAACCTACTTGTCATGACTGATGAGTAATGCATGTTCATTTAGAAAATGTGGCAACTGAAGAAAATTTAAAAGTCAGCCATAATTCTACTTTAGGAGATAATCATTACTAACATAACTTGAGTTGTGTATGTTAAGAGAGAAGTGCACAAGAGGTATTTCTATAGATATTTACATATTAAAAAAAGCTAGGTGCACACTGTCATATAAGTATGCCCATTTAATCCATACTCTCGCCAAATCTGAGTAACTAAGTCAGTATCATTAACCAAAATGTTGTGTTCAAAATATCTGCATGTGCCTAATTTCTGAGGGACTGAACTTTAATTTTAAAATACACAGCAAAACCTTTAAACGAGCCATCTTTATTCAATCAATGAACAAGCATGTGTGAAATGAGAGAAAGTAAGGTACAGCAACTAATAATGAGAGTTTAAGAAGTCTCATACTTTTTAAAAGTATGATATGAAAAGATGATAGCAAACATAAACACTCACCTCTCTTTTCTGCAAAGGCCATGGGTAGCAATTTTTCTGCAGACTTTCTGGTTTAATTCAGAACTAAAGAGTGGAATCCCAAAGCACAACTCCAGAGGAACCCAATCTGCTTCTGTTGTGGCAACTACAAAAGGGTACACAAAGTTATTAATCGTGTATACTTCATGTATTATGACTGACCAGGGTTTAACCGGTCAGTCTGATCTCTGGTCAGAGATCCAGAGATTTTCACAGATTCCTCCTGCTTCCACTGACACCCACGTGGGTTTAGCAGGGGAGAGGATTCAGAGGGTTGTCAGTGAATCTCTGAAACAGGAAATAATGTTTTTTGAGTATGTACATGCTTCTGGGAAGAAGGCACACAGCTTTCATCAAACACTCAAAATGGCTTTTTACCAGAAAAAAAATCTAATTCAAAACATCTACAAGATGAGAGAATTAACATAGGAAAAATGAAACATTTTCTATTTTCATGTCACATTTTATATTTTAATTATTCTAAATATATAAAAATGTTTCCTAGAAAATACTTATGAAAAGGTCCATTATAAGAGCAAATGATATCCAAACAATATCATTTGCAAAAGGATTAAACCTCAGAAATTAGTCAGAGACTGCAAATAATTTTTAAAGCCTTACCAAAGTTTTGCTTTGCAGCTGAATCTAGAGTTGCTTCCTCAATGACCATTTCAAATGACTCTGTGCTCCCATTCACATCTGAGCCTGAAGCCAAATCAGGTTCTCCTTATAATTGAAGGGCAAACACAATAAATATTAGGACTCTAGAAGTTGGTATACATTGTTGATAAGTCAGTCCTAACAGAAATAACAATGGAAAATAGTGAATGGTCTTTAGCCTAAAGGAGTTGTTGTTAAATGGGGGATAATTTTGTCCCGCAAGAAATATTTAGCAATTTTGACAAGGTTTGGTCACCATGAACAGGGACAGGGATGTTACTGATATCTAGGCATCCTAAACATCCTACAATGCACAGGATGGTCCCCTAGAACAAAGAGTTACCCAGCTCAAAACATAAATAGTACTGAGGTTGTGAAGCTTTGGCCTAAAAAAACAAGGATTCACAAGGCAGAACACAAGTTTAGACCTTCACTTCATTACTAAAGTCATTTCTGTCCCCATGGAAACATGCAGTCTGATTACATCATTCCCTTTCAAAATATTTTGACTCCCTATGTCTTTCAGCACAATACATCCTCTGAGATCTTCTAGATCTTACCTATTACTTCTCTACTGTCTTCTCCTACAGCCCATCAAACTCTTCTGGCCAAGATAAGCTACTCTCTTGCCTGATCCCCTCTGCCTAAAGTTGCTACCCTCCAAATAAACAACAGTCATCTACGTGTAGATAACACCTCATTTTTCAAAATTCCGTTCAAACTTTACCTTCTCTAAGAGGGTCTGATAGCTCAGCTGGGCTGAGATAAGCCTTTCCGTCCTGCTTTAGCACTTTAAGCAGACCCCTGTATCTTAGTCTCTTAACACTACACAGTAGGCTGATTCAGTTGCTTGTCTCTCCTCCAGGGTTTTTTACTCCTTGAGAGAGTGAAGTCGCTCAGTCGTGTCCAACTCTTCGCAACCCCATGGACTGTAGCCCACCAGGCTCCTCCGTCCATGGAATTTTCCAGGCAAGAATACTGGAGTGGGTTGCCATTTCCTTCTCCTTAGGTCTTAGTAATAGATACATCTCCAGCACCTAAGCAGGTATTTTGTAAATGTGCATAGAATGAATGAAATAAAACATGACAGCTCTAGTAACATTCTTTGAAATGACTAATCCACAGCCCTCTTCTTTAAAAATGCTCCTGTGATACCTGGCAGTCAACTGTTCAAAGTTACCCAACTCCTCTGGCCAAAGGTATATGGACCAGGAGTGAATACCTAATTCAATTCACTAGATGGCTAGCAATTAATCATATTCTCTTAGGATTTCAAAGGAAGAGGTTCAGTGAATATAACTGATAATAGAGATCTGAATTAAAAAGTTCCCTAGTGTTGTGGACCACAGGTGATACCACGGCAACAAAAGCCACATACAAACCAAAATTATGCCAGAGCAGAAAACAATTAGTAATGAGAAGGTGATCTGAAAATGAATCTTTAAAAAGAAAGGTATCTAAGGAAAATCAGCTATTGTCAATATGCAAGACAGCTTGGAAACAGAAAGAAGAAGAACGAGGCCAGGAAGACTAAGCAGGAAATAGTTGCAATAAAACATGTGTAAAATATCAAGACTCAGACTAGAACGGTAGTTACAGAGAATTAAAGAGAGAGGGGAAAAAATGAATATAACACATTTCTAAAGACTAACTTACAGAACTTGGAAACTAACTAGGCTGAGTGGGAAAGGAGAAGGATGAGACAAAGACATGATTTGTAAGGTCTGCATAACTGAGACAATGGTACCTCTGACAGAAAGAGGAAAGCGGAAGGAGAAAACTATTCATCCTAGTTTGAAAATAATTTTACAAAGAGACTAAAGTTTTGAAATCATTACCCCATAAAGGAACTTAAAGCCTATAAACAGAAATATGACAGTAAAGGGCTAAAACACAATAACCATTCTGTATTCCAACCCCAGGTCATCACTTCTTTACTTATGCACTTAGTATTTTCTCCATTTGAATAACTGATAATTGTCCCAGACAATGACATCATAGAGTATTTTCAGTGAAAAAACATTAAGTATTAAATAAGTCAACATCCCCACAAAGTCCCCATGCTTTTTAAATATTAAGTTTGTGATACACTCAATGCCAATTATCTTAACTCAAAGGACACAACTATTGGCTAACCTCTCTCATCAGAAGCATCACTGAGTTTTCTGTTTGCAAGTTGGCTAGAAGCATTCAACATGGTGACATATCCACAAAAATGCTGCAAGTCCACTTTGTTCCTCAATGTTTGCAATGCTTTATGAACACCCATATTGACACGAGTAAACTCTAAGAACAAAGAGTTGACATCAATTATAAGTCAACAGTTTTACAACAAAACAACAAAAACTTAAATATACTTTCCTTTTGTTAACATCAAACAATTCTTAGAACTACTTTGATATTTTATCAAGATTGATTCCAATGAATAAATATCTGTAAATGTAAAAGGATGCTGTACATGTAAAAATACTTATAGACCTCAGAAGGCAAATGTTGTAAGAAAACAATCTACCCTCTGAGTAAACAAACATGCCTGTCAGTGGCAAATTCTCTAGGCTTCTCTTTGTACTTCCATTCTGCCTTAAGTACTTACTTAGTGGGCTTCTACCAAGAAATTCTGTATTGAATACACATTTTTTATTTTTTTAAAAAAGTAAAAGTATTCTTATTGAAACTAAAGCTAACAATGTACTTGAAATTATATCCCTTATTTAAGTATCAGCTCAAGTTCTCATAAATATGTGAACTTACAAAAGAGAAAGATGCTCTATAGCCAAATATGAATACTTCTCTTTTTTTAGAATTTTCACAATAATCTCCAAAGGCAAAAGAGTAACTGATCAGTTCTCGAGATTTTATGATTTTTAAGATCCTGTTGTCACTATCCTGTATCTTCTGGTGAACAATTAATTTGTCCACAGAATTTATAAAGTATCAGAGGATTAACTAGCAAAGTTTAGTTGCAGAGAAATACTTATTTCTGAATAGGGGCTCTATTTTGGAGGAGAAAACCCTCCTCTCCAAATTTTGTACACAGTTATTCACAACAGCCAAAAGAGAGTACTTAATTTCAAATGTGAAGCATTTACAGCCTAGTCATGTAAAAAGGAAAAAAATACTTATGTAAATCTTCTTTTTTCCCTGCTTTAGGGGAGGAGGGACAATGGTGACTAACATTTTGGAAGAAAAGTTCTTATATGAATTAACAAAAGTTAAATTACTTGAATGATTCTCTGCTCTCTAAAATTCCAAGCAATATGACTCTAAGAGTAAGAAAAATAGATTCGAGAATGACAGTCTTGAGTGGAGCAGGAAACATAGGTGCTGAATATACTTTCTTAATAATCAACAGAGGAGAGACGGTTTACATTAAACAAAAGGAAGAATGAATTTGCTTTCATAGAAATTCTCTGAGCATCTTTCATCAAATGTATTACAGCTCACAATTCTAGAAAGGAGTAACATTAAACAGGACTTTTCACCCTTGAACCTAGAATCAGCTTAATTTAGCTCAGACTCTACAATTCACTCAAGTCCTCTCTAACAGGAAAAATAAAAATTTAAAAACAATTTTAAAACTATTTATTCATTTTAATTTTAAATTAAGTTTTGTTGAAAATGTTTTCTCATTTTCTCTAAGGACTCTAGATTGGGAACTTGTAATACTATAGAACAAACTTAAATCAAAACACATTGACCATTAAAACAAAATTTCAATTTGTTTTAGATAAAAACAAATGCTGAAACAGGAAATAATACACAAGTTCTCTGTAAACTATGTTAATTTACAAATGTTCATTAGTGTCCATAAAAGCCCCATAGAAAATAAATAAATAAAAAGACTGTAATAACACGGGGGAAAAAAAATCAACTTTCTAAGCATAAAATCCTCCCTGTGACTTGTATTCTCTGCCAACCTACAAATAAACAATAAAAGGAAACTAAAAGGCTAAACATACAGAAAACCTAGCCTTCCATCTAAAGTAGCAGCCTACTTATCTTCTTTATCTCCAAGACAGATTGGTATTCCTTCTACTCCTAGGTCCTAAATGAGTCTTATCCTATTAGTTCTTTGTGGGAAAAGGCATGTGACAGAAAACTACCTTTCCCAATACTTTTTAAAAGCAGAATGATTTGAAGACCCTAGAACTTAAAAAGTTTAAGAATTTACTTCTTGCTATGCTTCCACTGATTGACAAGACTAATTATAAAGAAGTCAAATGGATACAATTTGAAAGTAAGGTACCTCCTTGTAGTTCTGTCTCATCAAATGGGAAAGGTATGTGGACAGTTTCTCCTATCCCATGCAAACCATGTCCCTAAACATGAAAAAACACAAGTGAAAGGTATATGTGAAACCTGTATTTCCAACAGTATATACTCAAATAATAATTAAAACTATGCCTCATGATGGTGTAGTCCACCTTAATACTCCATCAAAATGCTCTCAATAATTCTCTGCTTTTCTCCAGCAAGTAAACATAATCTTAAATCTTTATTAACCTCTTAAGGCAATGTGTCTAAAGTGAGTGTACAGGCTAGTGAAAGAACAGGTCAATCAGGTGTCTGCTGAGTGAAGCCTGAATGAGATCCCGTGCATTCATGAGGGTTAGCTGCAGTGCTGAGAAAGAAAAGTGACGGAGGATCCCTGAGTTCCCTGGCACGCTGCGGATCAGGAGTGCAAATCTCAAAAACTGGCACTGAGTGACGTGTATTCAAAATGACTTGCTGCAGCACTGTAACTGTACACAACTAGAGACGACCAAAATGCCTGTCAGTAGGGCACTGATGAAATAAATCAACATGCATATTTTCAGGGCAGCTGCAGAAAAAGGACGCTCTCTACAAAATGAAACAGAAACATCTCCAAGTGCTAAGTGGAAAAAGCATGGGGCATATCTGTATGTAATTGCTTGCATGTGTATAAAGAAATTCTAGAAGGGACAGCAGAAACAAATGTGGTTGTCTGATTTGGAGGAGAGTCAGGGAGTGGGGACTGGACAGAGTGTTAAGAGGGCAGTGATACTTTTCTCTGTGTATCTTTTAATAGTATTTTATTTTTGAAATGTGAACTTACTGTCAAAAGGTAAATTGAAAAAAATCTATGAATCTAACCCACCTCAGTCCCATGTTACAAACAGCAATTTATTCCTCACATTCAAATAATTACAGTTGTGAATGATAAGCATAAGGTATTTCACTTTATGCTTATATAGTATCATTTTAATAGAAAAGTTAACACTGGGGAGCTATACATTCTTTCCCTTTAAAGAAGATCCACACATTAATCAAATTCAAGATACTGTGATATAAAAGAAAAAAATAATTTCAGGGGAAAAAAATCATATTCATTTACTTGGTTCATATAACAACTTGAATATGTTTCTAATATCTTGCTTCTATTCCATTGATACATTTATGATTTCAATACTAAACAAGATGGTTACTATTTATAAGAACATGGTTTTAATAAAAAAATCTTAATTTTGCTGTTTTAAGTTCCAGTAACGGTAAATCTTTTTTTCCATAAAATTGAATAAAAGAGATATTCTTTTTTAGAAAAGGCAAAACTCCTTAACAGTTTAAAACTCCTCTTACTCTACTTCCGCCACCACTGCCACTATGGTGAACATTTTTTGAAATCTTCCGATGTACTAAACATGGGTCTAGAGCATTTTATGTTGATCTCCCATCTCAGTCATTCTTTTCAACAATCATATAAAGGTAAGACCTTATATTATCTCCAATTTGCAGGTGAAGTCACTGAAGTTGAAGGAAGTTAGTTAACTTAACCAATTTAGCCAGTAAGTGGTGGACTCAAGATGTGAACTTAGGTGGTCTGACCCCTCAGTTCACGTCCAGCCCATTCTACTCCGTCATCTCCACCACCACCCCTACACTTCATATCTGCCCTCCTGACTAATGCATCCTCCTCTCACGGTTTCTACTACTACCCATGTGCTGATGCTGACACTCAAGTCAATCTCTCTTGTTCGATCTCTCATGTGAATTTCAGAATATTTTCAATTACCTCCTAGATATTTCTACCACCCAAATGTCCCACAGGCCCAAAACACGCCATGCTCATCTGCTCCCATAAACCAGCTCTTTCTCCTGTGTTCTCAAGTGTGATGCCACCGTTCTTCCACCTTGACAAGCCAGGTTCCTGAGGAATCACTCTTCCTCTTCCCACCTCCCTTCTCAGATATCTGATCAGTTCTATTTATTTTGTATTTGTAATAATTCTTCCTTTTCATTCTTATTACCACTTCCCTAATCTAGGCTGTCCTCATCTCTTATCTGGTCTCCAAGATTGAATGCTAATCCTATCTTCTTCCACCCAGTCATTTTAACAGTCTTCAGGCTGATCTTCTAAATCACAACTGACCATGTTAATCCCTTGCTCAGCACCCTTCACTGTTGGCTACCATGGATCTAAAGGGAAAGTCTAAGTAGGACAATTAAGGTCTACTGCCCTCCAGGGCAGGGCCTGCCTACTGCTTCAGACCCATCTTTGATCACCATCCATCATGTTGCAGCCCACCCCTCAAGATGACATAACAGCTCGCAGGTCGAAGCACATGCTCCCACTTCATATTCCTATTCGTTTATTCTACACTCACTCACTGAGCAACTTCTGTGAGCCAGGCACTACTCCAAGCACTAGGGAACTAGTTATGAAGAAAGAAGAAACAAATCTCTACCCAAGGACTTATTCATGCTAACCGTACCTCTCTGCCAGGCCTCACTCCACTCTAAATCAGTCTTTTATACCTAGCCCAGGTCTCATTTTCTCCGAGGAGCTCTCCCTAAGCCTCTGTCCTTGCCCCAAAGCTAGAATGTACTTCTCTTTAACACTTCCCCTATAACTCTCTCTAACCCCCAGCTAAAAACTGGAAGCGACTGCTTACACAACCTTTCCCATCAGAATTAAGTTCCCTGAAGACAGGGACCATGTCTTATTTGTAAACCCACATTAACTAGTAGTGTACTTGTACAGTGTAAGTACAACTGCCAGTTCAACGAATTAATGAAATCTTTACAGAGAACCTATTATGCACCAGAAAGTGTGCTGTACTCTTCATACACACACCTTCTCATTTCATTCTCTCAATTCTAAAGAGAAAAATACTTCCTTTGGCATTAGCTCTTACTATTATTTTTGTTGTTACACAGTAGATATTACCATCCCCATCCTGCAGATGGGGGAAACTAAGTTTAAGAAGAGTATCTCTGAAATGTTACATACTACTTCATACCAGCCAGGGTGGTTCTAATTAAGAAATAAGGTAACACCAAGGGCTGGAGGGAATGTAAAGTCACTTTGGAAAACAGCACAGCAGTTCCTTAAACAGTTAACACATAAATCTACCACATGACTCCACATTTCCACTTCTAAGGATATACCCCAAAGAAGTGACAACATGGCCACCTTGAAACAGGAAAGAAGACAGTCACAAAAGACTGTCTATGATTCCATGTATCTGAAATGCCCCAAACAGGCAGTCTACAGAGACAGCAAGTGTCGGGGGTTGGGGGTTGGTGCAGTGAGAACTACAGGAAAAGGAAAATGTTGTAGCACTGAGTGTGGTGCTGACTGTAGACATCTGTGAATACATTAAAAACCACTGAATCACACAGTTCAATTGGGGAATATGTTATGTGAATCACATTTAAATTTTAAAGCTACTATAAAAAAAAAAAAAAAAAACAGGGCCACATAGGTAGCAAAAGCTGAGGCTGGAACTCAAAGGTGAGTCTGACTTCAAAGCCCACATTGTTTCCACTACTCTCAATCTGCGAGACAAAGGCCAGGACTAAAATCCTGATCTCTGGTTCTTTATGTGTCAGTTTGACAAATGTCTAATTACTGACGTCTGACTGTGACTCAGCAGAGTCAAACAAATTGCGATCTTTGAAATTAAAATCCAAAACTGATTGTTTGAAATAAGGTAATTGTACCTGAATCAAAACCGCTGAATGTGTCAGGGCATCATTCAACATCGTGAGCACATTTGACGTAGGAACCACCCCAGGATCATGACCCCAAGATGTGATTAATAATCGATCATAACCCTAGGAACAAGAAATAGATAAAACATACCAGGGCATTTAGGAATTAAAAAAAATTAAGAAATTTATCTAAAATAGTGCTTACCAGTTTCTATCTTCCTCAAAAATGATTTTTAAAAAACCCACAAAAACATACCTGGAATATATCTGGCAGTTTTCGAAGTCTTGTCCCTTTGGACAGCAAAAGAGATGGTGGTCCTTGCCTGGTGATGTGGTAAATGTACAGTTTAAACCAGACAGAACTGACTTCTGGGATAGCTGGTCCAATGTGCTAAAACCATAGAACAGGTAAAATAAAGCTGTAAATACTTATCTAACGAAGCCAACTTTCACAAGAGACTAAGTATACTCTTAGAGCTAATGCCTCATGGAAGTGTTAACTGCTCTTAGCCTTATGAGGATAAATGCTAAATGATCCATTCAAGCAGTTTCAAATATATACTGGAATTGAGAAAGCAGTTCTTGTCACTGCAGTTAAGAGAATGGACTCTGGAGCAGTCGGGTTATGTCTGAAACTTGGCTGCATCCTCTCGGCCGTATCGCCGCAGGTTACTTAAGGTCTCGTGTGCCTCCTTTTTTGCTCATTTGTAACACGGCAACAAAATACTTACCTCTGCAGGACATTGCTAAAAGTTTAAAACAGTACCTGACAGCACATGATAAGCACTATATCAAAGTGTTAATTATTACCAGTATTAATTTTTCTCAAAAGAGAGATTATCTATCCTTGCATCCATCCTACCACTCATTCAATTCATGGATTCCTACTATGCCCAGAGGCTGTGTTAAAGAGTAAAAGGAAGTATGTATATGTGGCAAAGGGGAGGGGACACAAAGAATTATAAAACAAAGATTAGTAAATGCAAATCTATACCCACTCTCACTGAACAGAGGACAAAACTGGGCTAAGGGGGGAAGTGTGCTCATGAAGCAGCTAGATCTGCATAGGCAATAGAATCATCCATGTACCAGAATCCCTTCCTTTTTTCTACACCATGAAACATAACACACCAAGGAAACCAGGTAGGATGTAGCACAATCCTCGTGCTTTGAAAATGTTACATGTCACATAGTACACGCCTTGCTAAGTATACAAATATATGAAACTGATTTATTTTCAAAAAGTAAGACCAGAAGTCATCTTCACAATTTTAAAGGTAACTAGAGGTCTATCTTTCAAGTATAATCTTTTCTTGTCAGCTTATTCAGCATCACAGCCCCACTTTCTAAATACTTTGTTTCTTCCTCATTAAAGTTATCTTAACTTCAAGGCAATCCAGGTTTCCTTCTTAGAGGATCCAAAAACATTCTCTTTGAAATCCTGTTTTCAAGAAGAAAACTGTAATCAAATGTGTCATTAATCACTAGACAATGGTGGTTGGTGGTTTAGTCACTTCAATTGTGTCCAACTCTCCACGACCCCATGGACTGTAGCTCACCAGGCTCTTCTGTCCATGGGATTCTCCAGGCAAGAATACTGGAGTGGGTTGCCATTTCCTTCTCTAGGGGCACTAGACAATATATATATAAACATATATGTGTGTGTGTGTATATATATATATATATATATATAAAGTACAAATTATACCTCACAAATTGAACATCTTACAACAGCAATATGTACAAAACTGCTTTCTGAGTTGATGATTTCAGTATCTGCTATCTACAATTTGAGAATCAATACATAAGACTGTTAAACCTCCCCTTCAAGTTGCCATGAGGAAGAAGAAAATAATGGCAGAGCAGGCTTCCCAGTGGGTCTTTCTTTACCTGAGGGGTGCAGCTGCTGACAGGCCGGATTTCGTTGGTGAGAGGAGCCATGGAAACAAGCAATGTGTAATTTTTGTTTAGGACTCTGCTGCAGGTTGCAGGGTCCAACCCAAGAAGGCTCTCACAGCGCAAGAGATCCAGAGGAAAACCTGAATTGTGATCAACCACATACACAGAATGAAAGACTGACAACATGAAACAAAAATGTCGAAGATGAAAATATTGAGAACTGCCTTCAATTCTTTAAATAAAAATTATATTTTTAAAAATAAGGTAGAATATCTTTTAAAATGCACTTTATTTCCTAGGAGGTCAACTAAGACTTTCTAAGATTTAAAGCTAAAAGTCTTTATTCTGATCCAGAAAGATAACTGTCTACTGGTGTTCCTTTGAGCTAACCTTTCACTTTAAATAGGTTTGCTTTACCTACTTCCTCTCCATCATGGCAGTGCCATCTTATGAAAGCCTAACTGCCGTGAAACCTGTTTCCTTCCCTTCCCCCATTTTCAATCTCTATACAAACTTCATAGCCAAATTCTGAACTGACCAGAGGGGCAAGAATTCCTATTTAGAAACACATACCCTAAACTGGGGTCCATAAAGCATGAGCTCAGTATGCAAATGATGTTAAGTGTTCCCACTCTTAATCTTTCTGGAAATTCCAATTCTGTTGCTTCTAAAAAGAGTTCATTGAAACTTCAGAAGATCAAGTTAGCCCTCTAAGCAAAAATGAATCTAAAAAAGGATATGGCTTGCTAAAAGAGCCTAGAAGCCCTGAGTACAATCGGCACCCAAGATCTTAGTCTTTAATACCATTCACCAGTAAAAGAAACCAGGCTCCTAGAAGAGGAGGCTGATTCCAAGGCTGGAGCAGAAACACAAAGTAAGATAGCTTTGTCAGAAAACAAGGAATTACTCCCCACCAAATAAAAAAAAAAAAAAAAAAAAAGAGGCACAGCAGGACAAGATGAGTCCACTGGCAAAATCTGAGACAACTGTGGCAAAAAAATGATGAGACAATAGTGACTGGTTATAAATCACAGAAAAAATAAAAACTGATAATTCCACACTGAGAATATAAGAGAAAACTTGGTCCCAAATGCTAAATGAGGAAAAAATGGTGGAGTTGGGGAAAAAAAAGATCAATTCACAGCCATCACAGTAAAGAATGGTTCAGACAAGGATCAACAGAGAATGCTAAATCTAGGAGGAAACACTGATAGAGTAGCATATTTTCATGGTCTTAAAGTGTCTCCCCTACAGATTGCTTATTAGTTGTGGGGGGAATAATTAGCGGACTATACAATGTAGATATCAGAAAACACACTAACTGGGTGATCATAATTCGCTAATGTCACAAGGACAGACGCTTAATCATAGTTTGTTTAGCAAGCGTTTTGTTCTGCATGATCGGGGGGATATATGAGGCATATGAGGCAAAGGGATTCTGGAGGGTGTCTGTGCCTGGCCTCTCACAAATAAACAAGGGGAGTGCCTATGATCTTAACTGAGTTAGACCACACATTGTTTTCATTTTTCAAGCAGTGCCTCAAGCTGTCTAAAATCAAAAGAAATTACTAACAAATTAGTCCTGTCACAGTATCAGAGGTTTGCTTATATGATAGCATCACAAGGCTTTTTTTTACAATGAATATCAAGTACTACATGATATACTCAAACTACAAATTGCTAATGACATAAAAAAAATTCTTTCTACTCAAAAATAGATGCTTAAACACCAATACTACAGAGATTCTTGTTTAAAAAGGAGTAAGACTGAGTTATCCCATCTGGCACCTACAAAAAGCTACTTTGTTAACATGGAGGGTATTACGCCCTAATAAAAAGTTAATTCTGGAATGAATGGCCTTTTTTTTCTATGACTCTAAAATGCTACTAGTTATACACCATTATTAGAAAAATTGAAAATAGTCACTTAAGTCATCTTCTGTGGTTCTAATGAGGAGCCCCAGTTAAGAAAGTCTGATTAGAAGAGTGAAACTTCATAAACAATCGCTGATCAGATCAATGGGAGGGAGGAGTTACTTACATTTTAACTTTGGAGCCATATCAGTTATTCTAAGCAATTAAAGCTCCAGAAACAGTCAACCACTAAATCTGCTTTAAATGTTAGAATTATACTTGACTTTCACACAGATTAAGTTTAGGTTTACCATTTTGTTGATGATACATAGATTATTCATTATTCATGTGAAAAAGTTTAGCCCAACCCATTAAGCAATAGACTGTTCATGAATAAATCAATAAAAACCTTAGTATTCAAGAGAGGATAATGTAAGGGACAGAGCAAAGGGAAAATATTCAACAGACATGGATTCAAGCCCCAGGTCTTCCATTTACTAATCACATGAGCTTTAATGACTAAATGCACAGGAGATTTAACCAAGAAAAGCTTGAATTTCTTTATCTATAAAATGAGTTACCCCTGGCTGGTCACTAGCATTCTGTAACATTCTTGGATTCTAAGATGGGCAGTAGGACACTTCAAATATTCTAACCCATTATCTCTGAAAATCACTAAAAAGTCCAAGAAATTTCAGGGTTTCTGTATCCAGAGATATATTCAAGACTGTGGCATTCACTGCTAGGTCACATGATTTAATATTTGGTAACCAAAAAATTATTACTATCAATAAATGTTTATGAAAAAGAGCTTTAGTCTCTTGGTATTTGGTGACTTAATACTCAGTTTCAACCATTTATGAATAACCTCCAGCATGGAATCATTTATAATCTGCTAAAGCATAACTCCGAACCAGACACCCTAAAGCTGAAGCAGTGGGTCACCAGGTACTGCGTGTCTAGCCTCACTCGGCTGAACTACCCAGAGTTTTTGTGCTCCCCTCCGCAACAACTCTTGTGGAGTGACGAATGAGTCCATCCTAAATGTTTTTAACTGAGCTGAAAAGAAAGCCAGATGCTGGTGAAAGAAGTGGAATGAAAATGGATATGACTAAGAAAATGATGGTTCTTGGCCAGAAAATAGAACTTTTAGGTAAATGAAAGAATGAGTGAAATCAAATGTGATACTGGTGCCAAAATTTATAAGGCCCCCAAAAGGCAACTCCCATGAATGTCCACGGACTACAGGATGCAATTACATTCACAGTGTAATGTTCTTACACTGGTGCCCAAGCTGCTGCATCTTTTTAAAAGCACATTCCTGGGGCCACTCCTCAATTCAGGAGCTACTACATCAACTCAAGTCTGGGAACCCCTTTCTATCACAAAACTGAGAAGGCACACCAAGGCAGCAAGTAAAATACTTCAGAAAATATTACAGCAGCATTTGAAAACAAAGGCCCTGTCTCTTTTCTTTATAAAATGAATTCTTCATTCATGATGCTTCATGCTTCCTAAATAAATTTTGTCATTTGTCCACCTCTCAAAACAGATGCCTGTTTCACATCTGTAGATAGGCATCTACAGATGCCTACATTCCATCCAGTTACTAAACAAATTAACACTCCCACTCTTCCTGCAGATAGCTAAACAAACTTAGATGCTACAAATGTCAGCGGCCCACAAGAGAGGAGAGAGAGTAATGTAAGAAACAGCTGATGAGTAAAGAAATTCACAGAGCAAGAAATGTTTTAAAATAAGTGAGCATGACTTGTTTAATTTCTTAAAAAGAAATTCCATAGGATCATGTCTTCAAAATCGAGTATATTTATCATACCATAACTGGGTTGGTCTGGCTGTGCAGTCTGGGCAACTAGATCTTTATTATGACGCAGAAACAGTATTGTGTTCCTCAGAGTGAGCGCATGGTCAAAGTACCTCTGTGCTTCCCCTTCACCAGTGCTCTGAACCTGAAACGAGAACATACGGGCTGCAACAAAAGCCACTTCCACGCCACTCATGCCGGTTTATAACCATAAAGTAAAAATATTTAGATATTATTAAAAATCAGCCTTCTCATACTGTGAAATTAGTTTTCTGCTTGCTCCTTGGAAGAAAAGCTATGACCAACCTAGACAGCATATTAAAAAGCAGAGACATTACTTTGCCAACAAAGGTCCGTCTAGTCAAAGCTGTGCTTTTTCCAGCAGTCATGTTCGGATGTGAGAGTTGGACTATAAAGAAAGCCAAGCACCAAAGAATTGCTGCTTTTGAACTATGGTGTCGGAGAAGACTCTTGAGAGTCCCCTGAACAGCAAGGAGATCAAACCAGTCAATCCTAAAGGAAATCAGTCCTGAATATTCATTAGAAGGACTGATGCTGAAGCTGACACTCCAATACTTTGGCTACCTGATGCGAAGAACTGCCTCACTGGAAAAGTCCCTGATGCTGGGAAAGATTGAAGGCAGGAGGAGAAGGGGATGACAGAGGATGAGATGGTTGGATGGCATCACCGATTCGATGGACATGAGTTTGAGCAGGCTCCAGGAGTTGGTGATGGACAGGGAAGCCTGGCGTGCTGCAGTCCACGGGATAACAAAGAGTCGGTCACAACTGAGCGACTGAACTGAACTGAAAAATCAGCCAATCAAAAATTTGCCCAGGCAATACTGAACGCATATTAACCTCAATCTTGGTTGAGCTTCCATTTGACTACACTTTGAAAGGTGACAGAAATTACAGCAACAAGTAAAACTAACAACTTCAGCAACAAAGTAATGCCAAATTATGACATAATATGTTCCATATATGATTCAAACAGGGTGCTCAAAAAAGTCTAAGATCTGTATATTCTGCTTTGTCTAGAAAAGTAGTCTAATCCATGGTCACCAATGATGCCACTATTTTATCACCCTGTTCGCAATTCTGCAAGGGACAACGGAGCATGTGACTCAATACAACAGTTCAGTATCGCTGAATATACAGCTTCAAATCACTCAACAAGGATTCAGAGTCCCTGCTCTGTGCTATGACCTCTTTAGGATGTAAGGACAGAGGAGTGGACAGAACTCCTGCCTTCACCAGGTTTACATTTTAATGCATGCTCTTCTGACACTGAATCAATCACCCGTTTAATATGTAAAAGCACACACATGCCAGAAGCAGCAGAGAAAATAGAAGGCCAGGTCTACAGGGGGAAATAACTAATTATATTTGCATTACATTAACAAGATCAGCCAATTAAGTTTGATGAAGATGAAGCTTCTTTTTTTTTATTTTATTTTATTATTTTTTTTTTCATTTATTTTTATTAGTTGGAGGCTAATTACTTTACATCATTGCAGTGGGTTTTGTCATACATTGAAATGAATTAGCCATGGATTTACATGTATTCCCCATCCCGAAGCTTCTTAAAAAATAGCTAAGAACCTATTTTTAAAAACTAAACTTCAGACTAAAGGGCTTTTCCAAGAATGTCTATGTGGTAAAAAAGAATACAGCTACATAAAGCATAAAAGAGATCTTCCAATTTGCTGTACTTGACAAAGACCAGCTGAGGTGAGAAAAATAAAAATCTGGAAAACATGTTAAAATGTGCTAGAATATAAAAAAGTTATTGGAAAAGATGATACACAATAAGAAATGGGGCTAAACAAGATATTAAAAGCATTGAGGAAACAGTGAAAATATAAAGATAAAAGTTAAGGAGACAAATTCATAACAAGGATCATCTCAGGCACTAAAAAAGTAAAAATCCTATGGAGAAGGTGGGGAGGAAAAAATGTCATGGTGATTTTTTTGGGTTTTTTTTTTTTTTTTTTTTTTGAGATATAAAGGAAATATAAAATTACCAAACATTTTCTAAACATACATGAGTTCATCACTAAAGCAAGGAAGGTACTGAAATTATTAGTCAAGGAACAGATTAGGCACACAAACGACTTGCTTAAAGAAGCACAGAAGACAGAATAAAATACTCAGGGAATGAAACACACCAAAAAAAGGCGACCAAGATTTAGAGTTAAGGAAAACTAGGCTGTACTCACGGGGAAAAAGATGGCTAAAAACAAATATGGCTGAAGTCTTCAAGATGCTAAAAGGGATAGTGAGAGTGGACATAAATATGATACCCAGGGACATTGTTCCAGACTAAGCGGAACAAAAATTTCAAATAAAATTGCTTAAGAGAAGATTTTAAGAGTCATGATGAAAAGAAAAAAAAAATTAAAGGCTATTTTAGAAAAGTGCATAAAAACTGCACATAGACTTTAAGATTTCTGTACCCCATTTCCTCATTAAGTCAAATTATGCTAAGAGCTTCGATGAGGTAAATGACTCTTTGAAAATCACAAAATTCATTCACCCACTCAATATGTTTAAAACTAAATGACTGCCACAGTATTAGGGTGGGAATGAGGTAGGAATGAGCAAGAATATACCAAAAATCTACATAACCAACAACTGATGTTTTATCAAGCAATTTAGAGTCCAAACACCCTGACATCCCATAAGCTACCTAGATTTACCTTTTCTAGTTCAATAAGAAAGCTGTCCAGAGACTCATCTGAGAGTTTGCCAACTTCAAACATTGTGACTGCATGGCTTTTCAAATTCTGCAATAAAGAAACAAAAACAAAACTGAAATGAACCTTATTTGAGCCTATTATTAATAAGTTCTAGCTTTCCCTCTGAATGCTAAGCATCTTATCTTTATACTACGCTTTCCAATATATTTAACCTCAAGTGTGCATAAAGAGTTGATTTTTTAATTAAAAGCAGCCCTCACTAAAAAGCTGTCACACTCCTCTAAAGAATATAAAACAAAGCTGGATGCATTTTCAGGAATAAATTCAATACTTAAAAAAAGATATAAGAACACTGAATTATTATGCACCTAACCGTTAAACATTTTTATATTTAAGTAAGAATTTGACTTACTGGTGAAAGGTTTCCCATCATTAAAAAGGCAGTAAGTGTTGAGTCAAATAGGAATGCGATACGCTTTGTGTATCCTGTAGACAGATTCAAACTGTTTATACTGGCTGTGTCTGCTGGGGGGATAAAAAACATAGTTTAAAAATCAAGTAAATGAAAACTGTTCATTACTTATCATTTGCAGTAAGAATGTATTTCATTTCAGTTTTATTTAACAATTAAAAGTACATAATTAAATACAGGCAATACTGTAAAAAAAAATGTTTTTTCTAAGCTATTCACTTGTGCAGTAAATAATAATAAACCAAGACTTGATCGCTGTCAGATCAAAATGACTACCTAGCCTAACCTCTGCAGACAAGTCTCTGGGCCCAGGGAACAGAGCTACCGAGGGCAGGAATAGAAGCCACCTGATTGTGCCCTTCTCCTCTCCCCACACAACCACGTGCAAGCCCCCAGTCCACTATGCTCTGTCCCCCTCTGTACCTAGAGGCTTCCTGCGATGGTCTTCTTGCACTCACCAGCTGGCACACTCTTAGTCATTCTCACCCCCAAACCATCTTCTCCATGAAGGCGCCCTAAACCCCTCTCATGCTGCTGTGGTTTTTATGGCTACACTCTCCAGACTCAAGTTTTTAGAAGGAAACTATTGTATTTCCTATCAGTTTTATACCCCTAAGATCTAGCAGCATATGGTAAGTACTCAAAGACTACATACTGAATGAAGAAAATCCAGACCAAATCACAGATTAACCGTAAGCCTAGAGAGTTAGCTTTATGGGTGTATGTGCAGACACATGGCTTATCTACAGACAGGCTCAAGCTGAGTCACCGCTAACCTGGGTCTTCTTGACTGTTTGTATCCGTGTCAGTAGCCGATGAAGCTTCCTGTACAGGACTCCTACTTTCCCCGCCATCCCATGACAGGAGCATCTTCTGTGGATCTAAAGTACTCCTGTTAATGACGAAAACAGTCACTTTTGAAAAACCATATAGATGACCATATACAAAAATAGCCACTGAAGTCAGTATTGAGGTTACGAACATTCACCTAAATCCACTCTTACATTCAGGCCCCAAACTGAGATGTAGCCCTAAAATATTCTGCACCCACAGCAAAGGTTCTTAACTAAACCCATGGACAGGCTTCAGGGAATCTGAGAACATTTTAAAATTATATGCCAACATATAGTATGAGCTTTTCTCTAGGCAAAGTGCCATAGTTTTCACCAGATTCTAAAAAAAAATTCCAAAACAAACAAGATTAAACACCACTAATATATAGGTTCAATCTGCTGAATAAGTAAAATTTTGTACAGAAAACTGAATTTTTTCCCCCAAAACAAAAAACTCTCATACTAAATAAATGAGTTACTTTAATCTGTTTACGGATGGAACATTCTTCCACGATGAATGAAGCTGATCCAAATTTATTACTTGTCCTTTCTTGTGGGCAAACCCCAATCGGCAGTACATTGATACAGCATTCTAAAAGGAATATAAAGGAAATGAGTATCTGAATGTCTGTAGACAGAAGAAATTATTATGGACTATGTTTATAGAGATCCTCAAATATTTTCATCCCACAGCCAGAAAAAAACATTTTCAGTAGGCCTGGTCTTCCCTTAAGATCGCCACATAAGCAGAAAAAGGAAAGCCTCCAACCCTCTGGTTTGGCCCTCCCTAGATCCACCCCCCACAAGAAGTGGGAGTTGTTGCTTTAACTGACATCACTGCAAGACACTGTGACTTCAATACAAAGCACTGGTCAGGCTGCTCCCTGCTGGGCACAGCCGGGTGAGGACAGCTCTCACTCCCTGGGGTGGCATACTGCTCAGGGCTCTGATCTTGCTCTGCTCTGCTTCCTCTGACAGCTAATAAGCATCTCACTGCTTCCGCTCTCAGTATCAAGACAAAAATCTATAATCCATTCAGTGTTCGTATTACGAGTGAAAAAGAGTAGGAAAATTACATACCTTAACCAGAGACAGGTCTATCTCAAGAACATTTGCAAGCTGGAAAATAAAATTAAAAATTATTTTACATCCTAAGAATTATCAGTATATCATAATAAAGAGTTATAGATAACTTATCCATCATCAGCAAAATTTAAATTATTAATAATGTAAATACTAAATAAATTTGGTAAGCAGAATTTTCTTCTTTCCGTATCTTTAAGACACTTATAGTAGTACAAATCCAGGCAGTGACCCTAACAACTTAGTGTGAATTATAATTACTTGAGCTACTTTAATTAGAATTTTAATTAGAATTACTTAGCTTTAATTTTCTCTCATTGAAAATGAAAAAATTCTAGATCAGTCATTTACAATGCTTTTACTATAAAGTCATATGAAGTTATTCAACCAAATTATAACTATACACATATGCAGGAAGTAACTTAAGAATAGTGACTTAAGTATATAATAGTCTAAGATCTAACCAGGTACGGATTTTAAAAATATTTTAGTTATATCATTAAATAACTTTATCTACTTTACACAAACATATTTTATAATCTTGAGGCTAAATTCTTTCATAAGATGCTGTCACACTTACCTCTGCAACATTAGTATGCTCATCTATTGACACAAATATCTTATAGAGCAGAGTTTCAAAATAATCACCTTGCACTCTATTCATTACAAAACCTTCAAGAGGAGGAACTAAAATAAACAAAAACAGATGTTTCTCATTGATTTAATTTTATAAAAGAAGAAAGTTTAATTCAAATATCTATTCAAAAAGAGACCTCCAACTTAGGAAATGAATTCAGCTTTTGATTCATTTTATCAACTCCACTGCAAGTTTTCCTAAAACTCCCAAAGTAAAGGTCATATACAAAATGCTGTCTACACATAGTGGACTCTGATGGAAGAGCATAAATCCACCCCCAGGGACCGCTGAGCATTACTGAGGCAGAGAAGTGCTTACAGGCGTGGACTCAGTAGAAAGGCAGGGGGACTGAGGTTTCTTCAGAATGGGGAAGCCTGCCAAGGGTATGTTTTTGATCGGTCTTAGGCAGCAGGATGCCTGGTCTGAAGCAGAGAAACAAGGGCTGCGAGCTACCGTGCTATACAAAACCAGGGGGACAGAAAGTATCAGCTCGCTGCCCTTCTCCCATCTCCCCTTCTCCATCCTGACAAAAGGGGAAACCCGTATGTGTGACTGCCATGTTTATCACTGATGTAATTTGCTCTTTGGGGCTTTCTATTCTGTATCCTCTTTAATGGGAAGAGGGTCAAAACCTGTGTCAGCACAAGAGGCTGCCCAGTCGCTACTGCCCACCTGGCAGTTTATACTCACTTCTCTCCATCTCTTTGGTCCAGATGCCCTACTCCGATTTACTAGGCTGCTCTTCCCGACCATGATGAAGAGGTACTATGCTTGCCTTGGCCAGTCTCCCCTGTGGGCACACTTCCCTTAAAAGCATTCTGGGAAGAAGACATGTGCCTAGATCACAGGAGGATTTGGTGTCCCTGTGTCCTCTGACCCTAACATGACCTTACTGCACCCAAAACCTAAAAGCATTCCCAACAGAGAGCTGTAAGACAAAACTCAAGTGAGCAAAATGAAGACACTGTGAAGAACCACAATGTACACATCAGGCAGCGTAGGCTGCCCAAGTTACCGCTCTGTCTCATGGCATTTTCTGATTTGGTGCTGCCCATGCTTCTAATCACCCAAGAACTGATAAAGATCAAAGGTTTCTTTTTAGAAATATTTCAGCAATCCCATTTTTTTAATATAATTAATTCTTTTCCTACATTATCAAGTATGTGAATAAGAAGTGTCAAAATTTACTGAACAGTTACTAAATGCCAGACTATACTACTAGCTGCTTCATATATACAATTTCACTTAATCGTCTTAATATCAAGAGTTGTTAAAAACTATACCTCATCTTAGAGATGAAGAAACCAAGGCACTAAGAGGTTAGAAATACGCAATTTACATTTGGGCAAAAAGAATTAGAAATTCTTTATCTCTACATAAACAGATATAGAATAGTCTTCAATATATATTAAGTTAAAAAAGCAAAGCATGCGTTGGATACACCATCTATGTAAGAATAAAATCACACAAAAAAGGATATATATATATATATATATATATTTGTGCATAGTACGTTTGTGAGAGTATAAACAGATATAGAATAGTCTTCAATATATATTAAGTTAAAAAAGCAAAGCATGCGTTGGATACACCATCTATGTAAGAATAAAATCACACAAAAAAGGATATATATATATATATATACATATATATATATATATATATATATATATTGTGCACAGTACGTTTGTGAGAGAGTACATAGGCAGCTTAGCAGTAGTGGCCAAAAGAGAAACTGAGTAACTCGGGGCAGGCATCAGAAGCTGATGTTTTTATACTCTTTTCTAAGTCTAGTATTTTATAATCCTAATTACTGTCTACTCAAGAAGACATTAATAAAAATAAAGAAAAATACCTGAAAATAGCAAAGGAAATTATTTTTTAGAAAAACAAAGGACAAGGAAGGCCTGGGCATAAACACATATAAACACAAACAAACCATAAAGGTCAGGACACTGGAGCATGACAACCCGATATGAGGGAGTATTTTTGTAATAAGCCCTATCACTCAGTTGTTAACAGTAAGGTCCCTGGAATTTTTTGACACTCTATATATTTGATTACACAAATATCTTAGAATGCAGATGATATCACAAACAAGAATAGCTAAAAGATATGATGGAAAACGCACTTACAACACATAACCTTAATGTAACAAGTGCTTCTACAAATTGGTAAGAAATCTAACCTATAGAAAAAAAGCTCTACTGTGTTCAAAGATGTTAACCACATCACCAAAATAAATAAATAAGGAAATGATCTAAATAACCAGCAACAGAGGAATGGTTTAGTAAACTGAAAGCCTGTTGTTCTTGTTCGTTTGTTGTTTAGTCGCCAAATGGTGTCTCTTTTGCAACCCCACAGACTGTAGCCCGCCAGGCCCCTCTGTCCATGGATTTCTCAGGCAAGAACACTGGAGCAGGTTACCATTTCCTTCTCCAATCAAACCTGTGTCTCTTGCACTGGCAGGAGGATTTTTTACCACTGAGCCACCTGGGAAGCCCCAAATTGAAATACACAAGGGTCTTAGTACTGATTTACCTTGGGGAGGGAGTGAAGAAAGGAGGAAGAGATAAGCCAAAAACGATGGTCATCACATGAAAAAAAAAAGACACAGATATGTCTGGTAAAAATGAACAACATACAATTCTATGATACTACTGAATACATGTAGAAACTTACGCAGTGAACAAGGTTTAAAAGGTGACATAAATTTATAAAGACACTGATTTAATTTAGGATTGTAAGAAATTTACCTTGCATTTCTATTTTAATACAGTGTTTACACCACCATAAGATAAAAAGGAGGAATTTAAGCAAAATCACCACAATTTGCTGTAACATAATGAGGAAGAAAATGGTTTTCTTTGAAAAATTCTAATACAAAATCCCAAGTTGATGTGTGTCTAACTTATTAGGGTGATACACAGTGCCAGCACCTAGCAGCCATTCAAAAAACATTGAGAAATATTCCACATACTCACCTGCTATACAACTGTCATCAGATATTGGTACATCCAGATAAACAAATCCTTTGTTATATAAACCTATAGAAGCAAAAGTATCTTGTTTTAGATGAAACAGTAAACATTAGTAGTTAAAAAAATAAAATAAAAACTTTATTCTTGATTTTCCATAAAGATTCTTACAACTTAATGGTATGTGAAAAAGACAAGACAGAAGAAAAAAAATATTATCAAAGCTTTCAAAATCCTGATTTCCCTCAAATGCTCAGAACTGTAAAATTTTTCTTATGATTCATTCACATAAATTTCTAATCTATGTGACTAATTACAGCCACACTGGAAAACAATGAACAAAGGTCACATTTCAAACAATACCACACCTTAGGAAATATTACTACTCTTACCTAATTGATAAATAATTGCTACTAATTGTTGATGGCTTAAAATAAGTTTTTATGTTGACAGAAGACCATTTCTACTAACCACTTACTATGGACTACATTGTAATCTAGTGATCCAGAGAGTTGAGGGCCTGCATCAATGATCTTATCAATAGCGCATTTCTCAGGCAAAGTGCATATCTAGGAAAAGCAAAATATTTTCAATTAAGTTCTGTCCAAATTAACTAATTGATAAGTCTCCTCAAATCTATTTACGTTTAAACCAATGATTATATGTCATTAATTAAATGAACCTCCTGTTGTATTCATTCTTTACTCTAGAATTCAAACAGAAAAGGCTATGCACATAACCATCAGTTAAGGTGTCAAAGTATGCTATCAATGGAATTCACAAAACAAAGTAATTTTAAGTGCCGATACTTGCTGATAAGTAACATGTTCACTAATAAATACTAATATTTATTCACCCTTTTTGAATTGGAATCTGATCAACATACTGATTCTGAATCTCTAAAATCAAAAATTACTTCACATGGCACAGGATTATTATCAGTGACAAAATCACTATCTTACGAAAGAGTCTGATATCTTTGCTTGGAAGTAAATGCACTGAAGCAGAATTTCTAAGCCTTGCACTCAGTGGATTTATTCTGTCCTTGGAAGTAAAGTAAAATGCAAATTAAAAAGAAGTCCGTATGCTCATTTAATTCCTTCAGCCACAGGGATATGACTGGTCTCTAGGCACCTCGTCTACTGCTCCACCTCCTTCCTCTAAATCAACATCTCTTCTTAAATGTATGTAGCTTGTAACAAGTGTGGTCTGACCACTGGAAATAGCATTTCCCTTGATCTTGACCTTAGTGCTCTATCAAGCACCTAACACTTGAGTACAATATTTCAACACAGTGATTTAGGAGCACAGCAAACTGTCCGAAATAAAACCCTGGTCTTTACTCCACTGTGACTGGAGTCATTATTTCACTTCTCTGTGTTCATTTTCCTCACATGTGAAATAGGCTACAAACAACCCCACACCACTGGGGTTGTTATGAGAATCAAATGAGACAATATAAAAAGCACTTGGAACAGTGTCTGGCACCCTGAGCATACAATAAGCGCTCAAAAAGTGTTATCAATGTTCCTGCTGGTAGTTGCGGCATCACGTCAACTGTACATGAAACATCCATCTAATCAAAACCCCAGATGACCGGACATGAACCACATCAAGTCTCTCTCATTAATGAAGAGTATTTTCGAAACTTTCCAATATTCTCACCTACTGAGATCATTTACAATTTTGAATTTAAGTTTAATTTCCTTCAGGAACACCAAATAGTGTCACGTTTTTTAAAAAGTTCTGCAACTATAGTTAAATATAATTTTTTTTAAATAAAAATGCTTAATTTCTAAAGATACTTACCTTTATGTCATCTTCTGTGATATATGCGGCCTGCACCACCCACCAGGCCTCTATGGCAATTTCCACTGGCTTTACTGGTAAAAGATCACGTGCCGTTTTCCTTCTGAAAAATTTCTGCAATGGTTCAAATATCTGAGAATTTGCAATCAATCTAAAATTACTATTTTCTTTTTTATTAATCATGCTATAACAAGATCGTTTCTAATAGGCTAAATATCTTTTAAAATTCTCACATTTTAAAATCTAAGGTATTTTAGATATACTGAATGGACAAAGTCATTCTTAAATTATTTCAAAATAAATTACTTCAAAACACTATCATTAATCTGAATCTAAATCCAGATATTCAAAAGAAACCCAGGTGAAAATGTGTATCAATTTCACTCATAAACTGAACCATGGGAGTGGAATGACTGGTTAGAAAATCAATGGAGCAGATTTTTAAAAATAAATGAAGCATCCTATGCCTTAAACATTTTAAATTCAGTAAGCACTTAAGCTATAACCTAAAGATATTGATGAGCTGTTTTTGTATTATTTCTGTATTAAGCATATTTTATTTGATCCAAGAAATCACAATTCATTATTTCTACTACTTATAAATTTAACAAGACTGTGTGATAAGAGGGACAAGAAATGAGAAAGAGAAAAAACTAGCTTACTTTTGATGATCTGCACTGATTCATCAGATCAATGTATTGGTTTCTTCCTATGCCAAGAAGCCTTAGACCTAAAAGAAAGAGTCTTTCTTTTAAAATCATTTAATACATCTTGAAAAGTCAGTACACACACAGGTCTACTAAGGAAAAAACCTTTGACTTTTGTTCCTCTTTTGATTATTACTGACAATTAGGATCAAATTAAAAAGAAGTCTTCAAACGAAATACAAAAGAAAACCAATTGGGAGAGATAAATTCATGCTGACACTTTTGACAATGCTAAATGAGAAAATTTTTTAAAAGCAGAAGTCCTCCCAATTTCAGGAAGTCAAAGTGTACTTCTCAGCAAAAGTTTCTTCTTAACACAACAGAACTGTCACATTTCAAATAGACACACTTCATTAGAATAAGTATAATAAAAAAAAAAAGCAGCGAATTTTGTTAGTAAAAACCATGTACTGTGTTGCAAAAATACTGAGTGAATTTTCTTCCTCATTTAGTATATACCACAGCCCAAGTATGAAAAGGAACTTCACTGTCTAGAAAGTGACTAGTCCCATTTGTCTGATTCTGCCACTCCAAAATATCCCTCTCTTAGACATTTAAAACTAAATCTCATACTTGACTTGTAACACCTGATAAAATAATCAATAATCTTGCTTATGTTCTCATCTTTCATGTTAAAATCCACACATTACAACATAGACAAGAGCACACATGCGCAAAGACACTAAACATTACCTGGCTCAGAGTAATACTTACAGTCAGCAGCAGTGAAATTGGGCAATGAATCATAACTTTTCTCACTGTTCATAATGTCCTTTTATAAAGAAAAAAAAAGTAAATGTTAAATGCAAAACGTCCTTACAGAAAACACTGAGAACAGAGTTTGGCAACCGGTGCACACATGTCACAGAGCGGCACATACCACGTGGTCTCCTGTCTAATAACTGAAGGTCAGGCTTTCAGGTCTGGGTTCCTCACAGTGCTATGAAGCCCAGACAGTTGCCCTGCAACCTCTGCCCTGCAGAGGCTATGCAAGGAATACCTCCCTTTGAGCTCAGGGTTGCAGGCTCTCCACACTTCATACCTGATCCCAGACTCCTACTCCAGGACAAGAGAGAATCCCGAGAGAAGGCCTGACAGTGGGTCACGGCACTGCCAAAAAAGACCTAACCACTCGGTAGTCTTTGCTCCTCCAAGTCGCAACCAGCAACACAAAGTCAGTATCTGGCTTCTTCCAACCCTCATCTGCTTCTCCAGTAATAAACCAGCTGTTTACTGTGGGGATAAGACCCATTTTCAACCCAGAAGTTACACCCAGCGGTTTAAGAACAGAAACCAGAGAATAGCAAGCATATGGATGCAACTGAAAGCTGGAAACTGGGACAAAATCTCGCTGTTATCTCGCCCACGCCTGTGGAGGACACCAGGAAAATATCAGAGACAGCGACAACCACTGTACGTACTGCTCTTTATGCTGCCCTGGTTCCAGGGAAAAGGACTGACAGAAACCCCACTGCCAGGCCTCAACCTTTACCTTCTATTTCCTCCAAAACAGAGACAGGAGACACAGGGCGGTAGCAGTGCCTTGAAAAGGGGGCCTAAGAAGACAGGCAGAGGGAGCTCCTGTGAAGGCAGCCTTATCCTAAGGGCAGGTAGCCTCATCTCTACTGCAGGCGCCCAGCTCCTTCAGTTCTGTGTGCCCTCTGCTCTTCAAGGGGCCGGTGAGCCCAGCACAGCAGCACTCAAACAGAATTAAATCACCAGTGAATACCAGATAAATACTGCCCATTTTTACATAAAGCTCCCTTAAAAGCAGTATATAAACTAGTACTTAAGGCTATTCAACACAAGCCTATACACTGCTTTTGGGGAAAGGCTAACATCTAAAAGTTAATAATGACAGAAAGATTAGCAGTCAGGACCAGTAATCTATTTCTATTCTTCTGACACATGCATTATATAATGTTGAGTCTATATCATCAATGAGTCTTTCTACAGTTAGCACATAGCTAAATACATTAAGCTTCAAAGCTTAATATTCAATTCTGTCAGCCACATTTTCAACCTTAACCACGTATTAAAAGCAATCAAGTTTATACAAACTGTGCTAACATAAATGACTGATTAACCTATAGCAGCAGAAGGGGTCAACAACATCTTCAAGAACACAGAATAAGGACAGATACTTCCCCACTGTGAAAACACTGCTAGGACAACAACTTGTAGCACAACAGCTACCTTGTAAACAACTGTGCTTTTTACACCATCAGTTCAGAAACAATGTCCACTGTGGCTGGGTGCCACAAAGCTGGTCACCGTCTACAAAGTGTCCGTGACATGAAGTCTCATCCCTCCCCTAGATTCATATATCCTGTAAACTCACCTCCATGATCCCAGTATAATATGAGAATGGTGTTATCCTCAGGCCTTTTACCATGATGTCTGATAAATGATAAGGGTACAGCATGAGATGATCTCGACTGTACTTCAACAGTTCCTCGTAGTACTTGCGTTCATCTTTCTTGACATGCTTAACTGGGAGACAAAGGGAAATTCTCCAGTTTTATTTGACGTCTTACCAGTAAATGCAATGTTAAATTCTTTACAAGTTAGTGTTGTAAATGCAATGTTAAATTCTTTACAAGTTAGTGTTGTAAATGCAATGTTAAATTCTTTACAAGCTAGTATTAATTGAAAATAAAAATATGTAAACTGGAAGAGAAAAAAAAAAACCTAAGCTGGAACAAAGAAACAATTATAGCACAAGAAACACACTTCAGAGAATATAAGTAAAATGTATAATGGGACAGATAGGTACAAAAGTAATTCTTAACAAATCAAAAAGCAAAGAAAGCGAGCATGGAATGTCTCCCCACCCCCCCCCCCAAACCATAAGCTATAAACCATCCAACCCCTTAGTATGATACTTTACAAAATAGCCAATCTGAATGGCAGCTTTCTATGAAATCAAGTCTATTTTAAAAAATTATTTGCTGGCCTTTGTGCTTTAAATGTAAAAAGACCTCTGAGTTCCATAGAATACACACTTCACATAGAAAACCTCTCTCTGAAATACTATGTTTAAAATAACAGTAACAAATGGGAGGGAAGATCAGCAGGGCAGCAGAATAATCTGACAGATAAAAGTCAAACATTAAAAAAGAGAAGTTCAAAAAACATGGAGCCAATTATGTTTAAAATTTGTTCCAATTATTATAGAAAGAGGCTTTATTAAAGTTACATTATTTGGAAAATTTATAGAAAACAAAACAAAAAACTCAAAGTCAAAAATCAAGAAGTAATGTAATTCTGGCATATTTTCTCACAAAAAGTAAAAAAGAGGACATCTGAATCGAAATTAGTACTCTGTAGATAAAATAAATCTATAAACAAGACTCTAAAAAATAATTTTCATTGGAATTAGAAAGAAAAATCTACTTGTTAATGCAAATTATTGTTAGGTGTAATGGGTCATTATAGAATTTCATAAAGTATGTACATGAACGATTTCAGTACTATGAAATATGGTGAAAAGATAGGAGAGATTTATGAAAATGTTAACTCAGTAACAGTCAATTCTATCTCAATGTAAAAATCTCTCTACTTACCTAAGTTATTTCTATATCGTAACTGATTACGGATACTGTACAGGACAACCTGCTTCTCATATTCTCTCTGTGAATTTCCAAGACTCTAAAAAAAAAAATTCAAATAGATTTTAAATAACTAAACCAACATAACTCTCCCTCCTTAAAATTTCAATACCATGCCCCCCAATTTTATCCTGGAATCTCTAAGTTCAAGAACTGAGTAAAGGTTTTCTTAAACTTTATCATACAAACTTTTCTGAAATGGTATTAGAGCAAAAAAAACAATGTGTTTATCTTCAGTCTGCCTCTCTAAAAGGATTTACTGATTCTATCTAAAGTATTTTATGTGTGTGTGTGTGTGTGTGTGTGTATGTATGTGTATATATATAAAGAGCAGTCAGAGAGCATAACTGCACTTAACAAAAAACTAAATTTTACTAATAAAAAATCTCCAAAAAAAAAAAAAATTTTCCTTCTTGCCAGTTTCCAATTTGTGTGAATAGGATGGATGGTTTCTTACACCTACATTTTTTTAAATTTAAGAATGGCCACTAAGAACAGATCCCTGTCTGATAACTACTTATAGCTGAAGGTTATGATTATTAAAAATTAAGATTTCTGAGGAATGTATATTTCAAATGTACCTCTAAATAATATTATTTCCTAAAAACGTCATCTAACGGTCTCATTAGAAGACATTTAGACAATTCTAGAAAATAAGAGTTGCCTAAATTTCCGATATATTTTTTAATGAGCAAAATACTTTCTAGCTGTGAACTTAAGTGTTTTAAGTTCAAAATTGGTTTTTCATGAAAACAAAGTGTAAGCTGGTCTGATAGGAGTTACCATTACATTCAATGTGAGACCATAAACTTCATTTAATATGTGACTGCTATCCCCCTTCTAATTATTAGCCATGATCTTTCCAACATACTATAAAAAACATCTTAAGAGATTAATGGAATATTCATTGGAAGGACTGATGCTGAAGCTGAAGCTCCAATACTTTGGCCACCTGATGCAAAGAACTGACTCATGGGAAAATATCCTGGTGCTGGGAAAGATTGAAGGCAGGAGGAGAAGAGAAAGACAGAGGATGAGATGGTTGAAAGGCATCACTGACTCAATGGACAAGAGTTTGAGTAAATTCCAGGAGGTGGTGATGGACAGGGAGGCCTGGTGTGGTGCAATCCATGGGGTCGCAAAGAGTCAGACACGACTGAGCTACTGAAGAGATTAATGACAGAAAAGATCAGAGGATTCAGTTACTATACATCTTACTTGTAGGTTTTTGAAAGCCAAGGTAAATGTCCACATACATACTTTCATTTAAGGCCATCTTCATAAGACAGATGAAACACATTTAACTGGTACATAACTGGAACTATTGGTGGGTAGCATTTTAAGAAAAAAGGGACATAATGTGAGAAAACTAAAATGCTGAAATACATGTGCTTACATTATTTTCATCCACTTTAACATAACAGGTAGTTAGAAGTTAAAGTTTATCACAGAGAACTGCTCTCCCATCTCTGATGCAGCCCCAAAGCCAAGCTCGGGACTGAAGATATTTAGGGGATTCAAAATACCAGGCTTTCTGTAAAACTTTTAAAGGATCTCCTCTAGCTCTACTGCCAAATAAAAGTCTCTTCTTCAAGGAATACAAAACACCCATACACACACACACTCACTCACTCACTCACACAGCAGACAATCTGCTAAAATCTTAGCAACTCTCAAACTTGAGGATTTGCTCTTCTGTTTCAAAATAAGTCCCTTAATTTATCCTAACTTACAACCATTTTCTTCCTTTAAAATTCTGTTCCTGGTTAACTCCAGGATACAAAGTGTAAATCAAACCACTTACACAAAATATAAGGGCCCTGTTATTTGTAAGATAATTAGAGAATAGAGCTATTAAACATCTAAGTCTCTGCCATAGTCATTACGTAATGACTGGTTCTGATCAATACATACGTGCACGCACAAATAACTAAAAGCTACATTAAAAGCTGATTCTATTCTTCACTACCCTGGTACATAAAATATTAACTGCTTTGTTCACAAAGATTCTTTGCCTTCTCTTCCACCCCTACCCCAAATTTCCCACCATTCACATTTTAAAACACTGTTTCCTCTATAGGAGGCAACTAAAGAAAGGTCATTTTACTCTGAGACAGTGCTGACCCTGCAGAAATTCCAACCAGGTCTGATAAATGAAGCTGGGCTGCATATAAAAGGAACTGTAACGGAGTGCCACAGAAACTGGCTGTAAAACATCCACTGTGCATCAGATTAGCATAAAGCATTTTTTTCTAAAGCTTTTGCTCCACAAATCCCATCCCAATGTGCACCCCCCAAAGAAGTACATAGTTGTTTTTTTTTTTTAATTGACCCTCCTTGGATCACACAGAACCATATCATAAAATCTCCCTTCAAATAAAACAACTATGAACTGTTTTGAACAATGAATACGGGTAAACCTATAGTTTTACCAGTAGTCCTCAAATCCTCAAAAATCCCCCCCAAATCCTCAAACAATGGTGTGATCCACAACTTTTTAATATATTCTTGGAAGTCTAGTATAGCTCACACCAAGTAAAAAAACCTTTCACCTTATTTATATAAAAATTTTTTATTTTTTAAATTATTTTAAAAATTAAAAAAAATCTGAATCACCTTCCCCCAGCTTTCAGAAATGAATCACTTCCAAATTAAATGCCTCAAAACCTACTGGAAACTCCTATCAAAATACTTAGTATCTGTTAACACACACACACAAAAAATCCAAATTCTTTTCACACAAGGACTAGTCCCCACTTTTAAACTGACTGAGCTTTAGCTCCAGGAAAAAAAAAATCTCAAACTGATGCTATCATTCCTTCACTCCAAAAATATTTACTGGAAGACAACTACAACCCTAGAGACGAGATACAGTGCTGGGGGTCAACTACTCTAGATTTAAGTCAGGGAAACCTTCCTGGAGGAGTTAACATCTGGATTCAAGAAGAAGCAACAAGTAATCTATGGAGACAAGTGGTAAAAGGGCTGTGTTTGCATTTTAGAACCTTACCCCAGTATAGTATAGGGAATGGATAGGAGGGTCTTTTTCTGAAGGCAAGAGACCAGAGAGAAAGCTGATGTAGTAATCCAAGGTAGAGCCTGACCTACGAAAACAGAGCAAGGCTAAGTCCACGAAGTAATTCGTACAGAGGGGTTTTGCAACACCTTCAACAAGTGGAAGCTTATCCTAAGCTAAAACATCAATTCTTTTAATTGATGTTACAAAAGAAGTTTTAATTTAATGTTATGTTTGTACCAGATTATAACACTGTTTGGAGATTATTTTTAATAGTTGTGACTAAGGTTTAGAAAGGCTTTTGCCAACACTAATTAAGATCGATTATTTCTGTTGGACATAATGGAATCAGCCATCTCGTATCTATTAAGCTACATTTATTGTTGTGAAAGGAAGAGTAAACATGGAAACAAAGGATTACTGGTTCTTCCAGTTGTCTTGCCATATGCCACACAAAACTCTAAAAACAGAAAGTGTCCAGCAAGGTCCTCATTCAAGCTTAACAAGAGAAACTTATTCCTCCAGGTTTAGGGCTTTCTTCTTCCTGCTCAAGATTAATGTCTCAAGGGCAGCCCCTGCCACCCAAGAATTCAGAGTTCCTTAAATTTATCTTCCCACTTTCTTGGGTTTTGGTATCTTGAAGTGAAAGCATTTTCTCTGCCACATGATACAGTGCCAGAACCTTAAATTATTCATTACCTGGAACTAAGACCCCAAGCTGAGAGAGGAGGCAAAGTAGCAATCTTTATACCATCACCACCACCATCCCAAACCCTCCAAATATGCCAGTGTTCAGAACCAATGGAAAACAAAATTTCACTCCCAACCAAGTAAAATGGTGGGAACCTGAAGGTCAATCAATGACCAGAGAAAAACAGTCCCTTCTTTACAGCATTCATCATTTCCTTCATAAGCTTCAACACCACTCGCCATACCACATATCTACTCATTTGTTTACTGTCTTTCTTTTCTAAAATGTTAAGCTCCATGAAGACAGGGCTTTCTTGTGTTGACTGCTGCAAATTACCCCCACCTAAAACAAGGCATAGTACATAGTAGGTGTTAAATAGGTGTCTGGGAAACTGAGTAAAAATGACACTCAAGCATTTGAGAACTACTTCTGAGGGGGGAAAAAAAGACCAAACCTCCTTGTCACTCTCTTGTTGCAACATCTCTAATAAAGCCATCTCTTTGGGAGGCTGAAGTCCAACAAAAGAAAGCAGAAAAGCTCTACAAAATCCGGCCCTGACAACTCCCACCCCCAAGCACTAACCAAGCCCCACCTCCAGACTGTGAAAGCACGCTTTCGCTCATCTAAGCTTTTTAAAATAACTTTCTCCCTCGTTGGAAAATCTTTAATCCCCCTCTTTTCTAGCTATCTCTTATTTGTCTTTTAAAACCCATTTTAAATGCCTCTCCTACACATCCTCCCGATGCTCCATTGACATTTTCTGAGTCCGCTATACTATGATGCTGGTTCGTGTGAGCAGCTATTAGCCTGTAACGCAGTCATTTGTTTCTCGTCCCTTTGCCACCATCCCCAAGTTCTCAAGATCAGGAGCTGTGTTTCAAATTTGTTTCGAAGGTTGGTCTAGCCCAGTGCCTGGTGAAACGGAGACCGCGTGCGAAGGCGCCAGGCGAGTCCAGCGGACACCATGCCATCCCATTTCTCAACAACCCCATCCTGCCCTTGTGGCCCCAGAGCCACCCCCTCCCCATCCGCGGGTTTGGGGTCGGTTAAATCCAGACCTTTAGCGGCGACAAGGCCGGGAGTGAGCCCAGAAGCGCGCGAGCAGGTAGCGGCGGGGCGGGACCGGGTCCCCAGCTTCCGTACCTGCCTCACGTTGGCCGGCAGCTTGCTCCAGGGGTAGTTGTGCCGGATGTGGAACTCCACGTCTATGTTCATGATGCCCGGAGCCTGGGCGGGCGGCAGCGGCCGGGATCGCCGCTGGAACGACGCCTCCCGCCTGCCAGCCCTCGGCCCGTCCGGGGAGCTCGCGGGAGGCCCCGCACCTCACACTGCGGACGGCCCGGGCTGCCCCATGGCCTGGGCTCCCGACAGTTCGGCGCGGCCCGGGCCACGGGGCACGGGAGCAGCGGAGAGGGGCGGCCGGACACCTCGGCGGCTCCAAGTTTCTTCCTAGTTTCGGGCTGGCCGGAAATGGCTTCGGGTGTGCGTCACTTCCGCTCGCCGGAGTGGGACCGAGGGGCGGGGCCGGGACTGGCCTGCTGCCCAGCCCCCTGCACGCAAGTGGACCAGGCAAGTGGAGCTGGGTGGTACCCGGATAGTGACTTCGTGACCGCGCGCCCCGTATCCCTCTGTTAGTCTCTGGATGAATCAGTTGGGTTTGTAATGTCATTACTGGATGACCCACTTTCCCCAAATGTGAGCCCGGGTGGCCCTGGAGCAGGCCGTTACAGGCACCCGGGTGGGATACCTAGAAGGAACGACTTGGGATGGGGGCCATGGTCGACTTTTAAAAGTGCAAGAGCAGTGAGGTCCCGGGGGCCCCCCAATAGCCAATCCTGAACCGCGGCCAGGGGGAAGCGGTCCAGGTCATGAAGGAATGTGTGAGTCAGCTGTCCCCAGAGTGGAGTGGTAGAGCAAAGGGCTAGTGATCCTTCACTCCAACTGGTAGTTGTTGCATCTGGTGCAAGAGAAACAACTGGGCTGTCCTTCAAAGGTCCAAATTCTCGTTTTGTGTTGTGGACTGCCCTGCAGCTTACAGGATCTTTAGTTCCCCCACCAGGGATTGAAGCTGGGTCCTCAGCAGTGAATGGCACAGAGTCATAACCACTGGACCACCAAGCAGTTCCCACAAAGGTCCAGATTCTTACATTGTAGGACTTCAGGGAGCTGAATGTTAAACAGCTGGTGCTGATGTGGGAGAGGCTGCCAGAGAATCTAAGATAAACATTCTTGCATACAGCTGCTCTACTCCTTACAAATGTCTCCAGAGTCAACTTTAAAAGGCAGAAATTCAGCCTATCTTAATTTCAATTCTATTGGGAAGAAATTTTTGAACACTTTCGTCCAGAATTTGTTACACTGGCTTAGCAAATTCATGACCTTTGTTACTGGCAAGTAGCCATAGACCAGTTCAGTATTTTTGTGACTACATTTCAGTTTTAAACAATGGTTTTAAATAATATTCTATTACACACATGCCAGATATATAACTGGGAAAGTTTTCTAATGCCTAGGGCACAGCTCAGCAGCAGAGCTGCTGAGTCCAACACATAGCAGAGACCCCATTATGTCTGATGAGTTGAAACAAATGGGCTTCCCAGGTGGCATAGCGGTAAAGAATCCTCCTGCCAATGCAGGAGATACAGGAGACACGGGTTCCATCCTTGAGTCAAGAAGATCCCCTGTAGGAGGAAGTGGCAACCCACCCCAGTATTCTTGCCTGGACAATACTATGGACAGAGGAGCCTGGCGGGATACAGTCCATAGGGTCACAAAGAGTCAAGAGTGGGACATGACTGAAGCAACTGAGCATGCAGGCATGCACTGGGTCTTCTTAATTGCAGCACGTGTGATCTTTTTTTAGTTGCAGCATGTGAATTCTTGGTTGCCAGTGGCATATGGGATCTAGTTCCCTGACCAGAGATCAAACCCAGGCCCCCTGCATTGGGAACTTGGACTCAGTCACTGGACCATCAGGAAAGTCCCCATGGAGCCTTGGTAAACAGTAATGTCCATCCTTTTAGGTCCTTGACTCAGGCCTCTGGTCATTTCTGCTTCAGTAGGACTTTGCCATTCAAGTTTCAGAGAGGTCAGAAACTGCAGAGTGTTAGAAGCCCCATCCCAGAAGCTACCATTCAAATTAACTTTATGGGTAAACAATATGTTTAAAATTACAAGTGCAATGAGATTTGGTCTTCTCTGGCTTTACCAGTGTGGACTAAGGAAAATCACTCAGGTGTCTTGAGAAGCTGCCCTTCAGAAAGACTACAGAACTATTTCATTCCCACAACTTCAATAAAAATAAGGAGCAGAAACAACCTGAAAGTAGGGGGTTATCTGGTGGTCTAATTTCACAGTCTCCGGAATATTACTCCCTGTGGTCGATAGATTAATGACTCCCAAAATGTCCGTGTCTCAATCCCCGGAACCTGAGAATATGTTAACCTCAGGAGGCAGAAGGGACTTTGCTGATGTGATTAAGCAAATGATCTTGAGATGGGAGATTATCCCGGATTATCTGAACAGGCTCTATGTAATCCCAGGGTCCTTAGGAGAGGGAGGTGGGAAAGCCAGAGTCAGAGATGAAGATGTGGCAACTGAAACAGAGCATGTACTGACACAGAGCCACAGGGCAAGGAACATGGACCCCTTCTTGGATCTGGAAAAGAAAAACAGGTTCTCCGCCAAAGCTTCCAAAAAGATCCTAGCCCGGCCAACTCATTTTGGACTTCTAGTCTCCAGAACTCTTAAGATAATGCATTTGTGTTGTTTTATGCCACTACATTTGCAATAATTTGTTACCATGTCCATAGGAAATTAATATCCTCCCACACCAATCAAGTACTCCAACACTCAAGCAGCTGATGCATCAAATTTCATAATTAAATCATTTTAGTTGAAGTATAAATACCCTTGGAACTTCCCGGGTGGCACAGTGGTAAAGAATCTGCCTGCCAATGCAGGAGATGCAAGGGACTGCGGGTTCAATACCTGGGTCAGGAAGAGCCCCTGGAGGAGGCAATGGCAGCCTGCTCCAGTATTCTTGTCTGGAGAATCCCATGGATGAAGGAGCCTGGTGAGCTACATAGGTCATAGGTCATAAACTTCATAGGTCGCAAAGAATCAGACATGACTGAGTACACAGGCACACACAAATACTCTTAGTGGGAATAAAACCTCTCTAGCCTTATCGTTTTTTACTATAGACAAGCTATCACATCTTTTTGAAAATATATATATATTTACTTATCTATTTACGTATTTATTGTCAGCTTCGCGTCTCCGTTGCCACGTGTCAGCTTTGCTCTAGTTGTGGCGTGCAGGCCCAGCAGTTGCGGCACATGGACTTAGTTGCCCCATGGCCTGTGAGAGCTTTGTTCCCTGACCAGAGATTGAACCCACGTCCCCTGCACTGGAGAGTGGATTCTTAACCACTGAACCACCAAGGAAGCCCCTGTCACATCTTTTTCTGAGAGGCAGTCTGAAAGAGAAAGAGCCTGAGGAGGAAATGAGGCCAGGGAACCACCAGTAGCGGAGGACGAGGTAGCTAAAGAAAGAGGAAGTTGCTGTGAACATTTCCTGTTTCACAGTTTCGTCTGCGCCTGGCCTGGGCCTTGGTTTTGCCTCCTGAATGTGCTTTGTTCTGTTCCATGAACCAAGGCATCCCCCGGCCTAGCTTGTTCCTGCCCCACGGCTTTGGCCCTTGCTGTGCCCTTGACCTTGAATGCCTTTCCCCAGACCTCTGTGTAGCAGGTTCCCTTCATTCTACCCCCTGTCACTTAGAGTGACCTTCGCCAACTTCCCTGTCCAACCTAGCCACTGCTCCCCCTTCTCTCTCCAGCCTATTATCTTGGTTTATTTTTTGCAAAGAATTGCTATTTTGACATTATCCTGCATGATTTCTTGTTTATTGTCTGTCTCCCCAGCAAGAATATAATCTCCGTGGAAGAAAGAAGCTTGTCTGTCTTGTTCATCAGTCTATCCCCAATATGTAGATTCATGCCGCACACATAGGAAGCGCTCGATAAATGCCACTGAATACACGGAACGAGTGAATCGGTTGTGAGACAGGGAGCTCGGCTCGGAGCTCTGTGATAACCTGGGGTGGGGGGATGGGGGCAGAGCTGGGAGGGAGACTCAAGAGGAAGGGGATCTATGTATGCTTACGGCTTGTTCACATTGTACAACAGAAACCAACACAATATTGTAAAGAATTTAATTATCTTCCAATTAAAAATAGATTAAAAAAATTAAAAAGCAGAGGCTGAAAAGTCCTAGCCCTATGGGTGGTCACTCAACCAATATAAATAAATAGATAACAGCACATCTCCAGGCCTCCTCAGCCACCTTTTACTTTAGTTTTCTCCATAACGTTTATTATCATTTAATATATTTCATAATTTTCTTCATTTTTAAAATTGTCTCCTCAGTTAGAACTTGAAGCATCCCAGAGGTGGGAGCTTCTCTCTGCTTTGTTCTCAGCCATGTCCTCAGGCTTAGAACAGCACTTAGTATTGAATAAATGAATAAATATGGCCTAGGGAGTAGAAATCCCATTAAAAAAAAAAAACGGATTTGGGGATTCTCTTAAAAATGTGGTAAATTCCAGAGCATTAGACCTTCTCAGGTCCACGTTCTTCATCACCCCCGCCTCTGACAGGAAGCTGTCAGTTGCGAAAACCATCTCGCTTATACGTTATGTCAGGGAAGAGAAGTACTTATCTCTGTGGTAAGTGGTAAGTGAAGAAAATGAATGCTAGACTTGAAGGCCAAGCTGTCCATCCTCATCTGCACTAGAGACCTCAGAAATAGCAAGACATTTAGAATTCCCTAAACATGCCATGCCATTTACTCTCTTTGGGTCTTTGGATGCAGAATACCCATCTAGAATGCTTTTCCTCCTCTGCCTGAAAACCTTCTCATCCTGACACTGTTTGAATGGAACAATGAAGAATCAGGAGGTAAGGATGGAGAGGTAGGAAGAAGCACCATCATATGGGACCATTGTTCTCCGCATTAAAGAGTTTCTAACAACCTCTTCTACAAGTGATGGAAAACAAGAGCTGTCTGTTTTAGAAGCACAGAGATCCTTTGCCACATACCCTGTGAAAGATTAATATTATATGTTTATATATAAAAAGAATGTTATATTTCTGCCATCTGCAGTCTGTGTTTAGGATATTTGTGGTCTGACGTGGCCATGAATACTGTTCCAG